TCACACGTTTGGAGATATGCATAATTCTTTCATATACAAACACATTACTGAGATATATATCCACCTGGTGACTATGTGAGTCATTTTGTAAAATGAGTGAGATTGTGTCATTTGTATGAGTGTGTGCATTGTGAGTGTGTATGAATGTGAATGTGAGTCTGTATGTGGTGAGGGTGTGCATGAGTGTTTGTGAGTGTGTGACTGAGTGTGTCAGTATGGGAATGACTGTATTTAAGTACATATTTGATACTGTATATGATTCCACTTACATGAGGTACCCAGAGTAGTCAAATTCATAGAGAAAGTAGAAAGCTTGTTGCCAGGGGCTGAGGGGAGGAAGGAATGGAGTGAGGGAGGAATGTTGCTTAATGATATAGTTTTAGTTTTCCAAGACGAAAAGAGTTCTAGAGATTGGTTGCACAACAATGTGAATGTACTTAATGCTACTGAACTCTACACTTTAAAAATGGTTAAGATGATATATTTTGTTACCTGTATTTTACCACAATTAAAAATACAAACTTAAAATTTTTAAAAATTATGTGTATGTGAGTGTGCATATTGTGTCATTGTGTATAGTCAAGAGTGTATAAATATGTGTGTGTATGTGTGTGTTTGGAGAATGGGTTGTCAGCCATATGTATCTCTTCCCTGACGTGGAAATTAGGGTATGGGTAGTGAAGAATTCACTTCACCCAAAGTGAGTTTGGTAGATCAAGGAGGGAAATAAGTAATTAAATTACTACAAAATTGTGAAAATGTATGCACTGACTTTAGAGGATGGATTAGTTTATTTAAACCTATCCCTACCCCACACTTCTTCCTCCAAATGTTAGGCATACTCACAGTTGTACTGTGGCTGTCTGTCCTGTAAATGTTACATTAAATGTAAATGCCCAGACAAATGTATGTTTAGTTGTAAGAGAGTCTTGGGCAGAGGCTAAGTGGTGGCTTGCGTAGAGAATTAACATCACCCAAAGTGAGGTCTAGCCTTTACCCTCAGCTTCTGGAAGGTGATCTCCAGACCACTGGAATGTCCTGCCTGATAGGAGTGTTTTTGTTTGCTTGGAGACTCGGCCACTAGACATTGTCACAATGTGATTTATGATCACGGCTTTGGGCCCAAAGTATCACGTCGGCCTCTGGAAGAGCTGGAGACCAAATGTGTCAGCTCAACCTGGGGGTGTACTGGAGACTAAAGATCAGGAACTCAGAAAGTAAGCGAAAGATTTGTATTAAAAACTCTGGGCACAAAGGCTTGAGTGAGCTGCCCTTGCTGGCAATATTCCATGAGTGTCGTCACATATCGACCCCAGAAAGTAACACCTCCATGACTCTACAGGGACAGGACAACTAGAAGATCTACATTTGGTACTTTTTCTGTACTCTGCCCCATGCATCTCTCTCCTTGGCTGATGTTAATCTGTACCTTTTCCCAGTAATAAACCATGACAGTGAGTAGAACAGCTCTCAGTTGAGTTCTGCGAGTCCTTCTAGAGAATTATAGAAACTGGGTGGTTTAAGGGAAACTCCAAACTTGCTGATGGTGTCAGAAGTGAGGGTGGTCTCGTGTGGACTGTGGTCCCCCTAACTTCTCAGCTGGAATAAAACTCTTACAGTGGGAATGGATAGTATACCTAAATCAAATGGTGGATTTGTCTGCTAGAAAATCTAAAAAATCAATTTTGGCTCTTGAATTTTATATTTCTTCATTAATTACATAATCAATGAGTGCTCCTTAATGAAATTTCAGCACAAATCAGTCTAGAGAGCTCTAGTAACCACTCAATGCAGTTGAAATGAGAAAGTAGCAGTGGCTTATCTGAGGTACAAGAATGTTAGAATCTGCCTGTTAAACCATCTGATCCTGGTGCTTTCATTTGTAATGAACATTTTATAAACATCTTGCTATTTCTATGGATTTTTTGTTTGTTTGTTTAAACTTCCTATCATGGCTGAGGTCAATATTGGTAAGGTATGTTTTCCTAGGAAACTTCCATATCACCATTTCCAAATTAATTTGCATTTAGTTATAGGAATGAGGCCAATAATTTCTAAGGTAAATTGTTGAGGTCATGTTTTCTTCTTTTACATTTATCTCATTAGAAATTCTTTTCAATTAGTTTGTCTGATACCGTTTATCTTGAATGCTTAAATAATGGGTTTGAAGATTGAGAATAAATTTGATTTGAGGTAGAAGAATTTCTCAGTGAAGCAAGGAATCCAGTGAAGTACACGTGCTTTGCTGCTCGTCTCCCATGAGTCAGACCTTAGTATTTCCTGCTCCTTTCGTATGAGACCCTGTCTGCCTTTAGGGATCAGGAAAAAGCAAGAGCCTCTCCCAAAGACTTCCATGGTCACTTTGGAGATACTCACAAAGAACTTGGAATTGTTCTTGATAATTAGCAACTGGGAAAAATGTTTTTCAGAAATGTTCTCAGCTCCCCAAGCCTGCACTGTCATTGCCACTACAGGTGAAATGATAATTGCAGTTCTGAAGGGAGGTGAGGTCACAGAATCACACACTTTTATCTCACAGTCTGGCTACCACCCTCCCACGTGAGCTGGCTGTTGTGTCCTTCACACCAAGCCAACCATCCTGAGAGAAGGAAAGAATCCAGCAAGTATTTTGTATTTCAGTCTGAGAGGCAGAGTTTCTAAGGAAATGAAGTCTGAGTAAGTTCTGGTGTGTCTAAAAGGATTATTTTGGGGTAGAAATAGATCCGATAGCAAAGCTAGATAGGGGGAGGAATAATTCCTTAGGTATGAGCTGAGCTAGTAAAGAGAGATGAGGCTCCTAGACCCTACACCAATCCCTGATGGCTCCTAATGTAATTTAATGAAATCCTCACTGAGGATGATTGTTGGTGAACAATACCAGTGATAATGAAATGGTTTTTTTTGGTGCTTAAAGACTGTAGTTATGAAGTCGATCTGCTGTTCACATTACCTTACATGAATCATAGACTACATTTACTGTATCATCAGAGGTTTGTTTATAATGCCTTCATGCTTATAATAAAATCAGAATAACCTCATTTTGTGCAGGAACTACGTATCTGAATTTATTTCTAGAATAAAAAAATGTGTTTTTTAAATCTAATTCTGGGTTTATGATGCACTTGAGACAGTAAATGTGTCTCTACTGAAAATATCTGTGGTCTAACGATTATGGTGAAACTACCCTCCTTCTTGATGTCAGGGAAGCAGCATTTAAGGAACAGGTAATGTATAATGATGGGTTTCAGACAATAGTTGTGGGGACCAAATGTATGTTGTGTTATTTTCTCTGATTTAATAATACTCTAACATCAATCCCAAGATCACTACTCATTTTATTATGATCTCAATTTATACAGTGCATAAGATTTCATGTTCCCCAGATTCCATTTTATATATGTTGCTTGTATTTTAATATATTGCACAAATCTTGCTTTATGGCTGATAGTTACACTTAACTCGCACATTAATAAATTGATGAGTATATGACCTGAAATTAGTAATAATTTAGTTTCTATCTTACAATGTTTTAGTACATATTACTGTTTCATGTATCAGAATTTAGAGACAAAGTAACATTCAATAATTTCTTTGATCAATGCTATTGTATTTTTGCTTCAGCATGACAGCAAATGGGTCTTTCTGCTGCCAAAGTATTATTGAGTCAAGCTTGCATTGATTAAATCCATCTTGTGCATGGGGCAATTTGCTTTAGGACTGTACCATAATTAATGCATCTACATTTTATTAGGATCTCTAAAATTTCATTCATATTTAATATTGACCTATACAATAAATCTTTAAATAAAAATGGAAACTTGTTACAACCAAAATTATAAAATAAAGTACCAAAGATGACAATAAAATGGCAAGGTATATAAACAAAATTAAATATAGGGATGAATTATTTGAAAATGCAGCTGACATGGTTTGTTAGCGGAGTACAGTGGTTAGAGCACAGTCTTTGCAAGCAGCCTAGCCAGGTTCAAGTCCCCACTGTGCCCCAAACTAACATGTGAATTTAGACAGATCACTTAACCTCTGTGTATCTAACTTCTCCTTGTTTTTACAATGAAAATAATGCTAGTGCCTACATCATATAGTTATGAAAATCTAAGAAGGTACCATATGCACAGCGCTATACCAGAGATTCATACATTGTAAGTGCTATTTGAAGATTATACATTCAATTCTGGGAAGCCTCTTAATAACAACAAAAATAACCTTAAATAAATATTTCTCAGTAAAAATATTGGGTTTCAGTTGATATGATAAATGTGGCCCACATGTTCTCATGCAGCGTCCTCAGGCTCTCAAGATGAATATCAGTCACTGGGAACTGGCAGAATGGCCTCCAGGGATTGGCAATAGGAATGGTCTACTTATCTCAGAGTATAGTTGGAACCCTGGGCATTTTCTGTCTTCTTTACCACTATCGCTTCCTTTATTACACTGAGTGCAGACTGAGATCTACAGATTTGATTCTCAAGCACCTGTGTATAGCCACTTCCTGATCGTTCTTTTTAAAGGTATCCCCAAGACAAAGATTTTAGGTTGAAACATTTCCTCAATGATTTTGAATGTAAATTTGTTTTCTGTCCTCACAACGTTGGCAGGGTATGTCCATTGGCACCAACTGCCTCTTGAGCATCTCCAGCCATTTTGATAAACCCCAGGAACTCCGTGCACGGAACTGAAATAAAAGCTCCAAGGTCATTGGGTTTTCCATTTTCCTCTGCTGGATCCTAAATATGCCGGTAAATATATCATTCTTTCTATGTATATGATTGCCAGATAGAGCAGCAAAAACAGCAGAAATAACAAAATGTTTAGGATGCTGTTCTGCCAAACTTCATGACAAAGTTACAGACTCATCATATGCAGCATTGTTATTTTTCTCCGGTGTTTCATGTTTGGGCTTGTGAACTGGGCCTGTGGCTTCATAAGCTTCATCCTGTACAGACACAAGCAGCAGGTCAAACATATTCATATACCAACCCTTCCCTGAGCTCCTTCATCCAACATTTTTTTTGCTGACAGTATTTTTTTTTAATTAAAGGCATATACACAGGGTGTAAGTGTACAGCTCAGTGGAATTTCACAAACAGAACACAACTTTGTACAGAACGCCTAGATCAAGAAACAGAATACTGTCAGCCCATCAAAGCCTCCTTGCGCCTCCCTCTAAGTCACTATTGCAAGGGTAGAGTGCTGGTGGGTATATTTGTAGAAGTGGAATTATTGGGTCATAAGTTTACACCTATTCTAACATTTAAGAGATAAGATCTCTTTTACCTGTTTTGTACTTTATATAAATGGGATCATACCACATGACCTTTTTCACATTCAGCTTTTTAGAATTGCACATGATTTTTATGAACATATCTGTATTGCTGCATATTATTGTTGGCATTCATCAGCATTGTGTGATGGATAATTTTTTGTATCAATTTGTCTGGGCCATGGAATCCTGGACATTTGGTCAAACATTATGAGCATTATTCTCATGTGTCTGTGAAGGTGGTTTTGGATGAGATTAACATTTGAATCAGTAAACTGAGTAAAACAGATGGCCCTCCCCAACATGAGTGGCCCTTGTCCAATTCATTGAAGACCTGACTAGAACAAAAGGGTAAGAGAAAACTTCTCTGGCCTGACTGTTTGAGTTGGGACATAGGTCTTCTCTTGCCCTCAGGCCGGAATTTACACTCTCAATTCTCTTTGTTTTCTGGCCTTCAGACTCAGACTAGAACTTATAACATTGGCTCTCCTGGATCTCCAGCTTCCTGACTGCAGATCTTGGGACTTCTCAGCCTCCATAATCCAGTTATTTATCATAAATCTATTTCTTTTCTTTCTCTGTCTCCACATACACACACATATACATATACACCTATTGGTTCTGTTTCTCTGGAGATCTCTGACTAATACACGTTGTTGTATAGGATTCCATTGTATGAATATCAAACAATTGAATCATTCTACTATAATGGGCATGTGAGTGGTTTTTTAGTTTAGAGCTATTATGAGTAGTGCTGCTATATAAATTCTGTATCTTGTCTTTTGGTGATACATGTACAAATTTCTGTTGGGGACATTCTTTGGAATGGAATTTTGGATGTGCTTTTATACCTGTTCACTGCACGTAGACACTATCAAAGGCTTTTCCAAAATGTTTGTACCAATTTTAACACCCACTAGCAATATATGAGATTCCTAGTTTATCCACATCTTTGCCAAAACTTGATATTTCCTGTCATTTTCATGTTAGCTTTCTGGTTTCTGCATAACGGTACCAGGTAGTGGTTTTATATTTGAGTTACCCTGATTACTAAAAATAGTGAACATTGTCACATAACTATTATTAATTGAATAACTTCTTTTTGAAGTTTCTTTTGGAACTCTGTCCATTTTTTGCTCTTTTGTGTGGTCTATAAGAGTTCTTTGTGCTGGAAATGTCGTGTGTGTGTGTGTGTGTGTGTGCGCGCGCATGAGGGGTCTCTTTTAATGAGAACTAGGTCATTACTTTAATATAATCTAATTTGTCACTTCACTTATGTAGTTAATATATTTTGTGCTGATTATGAAATATTTTCTTATTGTAAGGCCACAGAAATATCATTTGTTTTTCAAAAACGTTCATAATTTATCTTTAATATTTGGATCAGTAACCTATTCAGAAGTGATTTATTCTATAGTGTAGGTAGAGACTGAAGTTGTGTCTTTTTTCACACATGAGTAACAAATTTCAGTTTTCTGAAAATGTTGTATTAAGCATTCTTTCCATTTGCTTTCACTTGTCATTGCTTCCTCCAGGCTAACACCATCTCATCTTTGGTGCTGACTTTTCCATGAAATATATTGGTAATTCTCTCCATTTCCTCCTGCTTCTTAAAGTCTTTGGCAATCCCACAGGAGCAAACAATAAAAGTTACTCTCGATGTCAAAAATCTTCAATGAGGCTTTTTGTTCACAGGAATGATTGTTGCCATAATATAAAGGAAAATGTGCTGAATGAAAGAATAGTCTCCCGGGATTTGGCCATTGGAATGATTTTCTTATCGCAGACTATAGTTGGAATCCTGAGCAATTTCTCTCTTCTTTACCATTATCTCTTTCATTACCACATTGAACGCAGGTTGAGGTCCACAACTTTGATTCTCCAGCACCTGACTATATCCAACTCCTTGGTCATCCTATCTACAGGAGTCCCTCAGACAATGGCAGCTTTTGGGTTGAAACATTTCTTCAATGATTTGGGATGCAAATTTCTTTTGTATGTTCAGAGAGTGGGCAGGGGTGTATCCATTAGCACCACGTGTCTCTTGAGTGTCTTCCAGACCATCATGATCAGCCCCATGAACTCTAGTTGGAAGACACTTAAAATAAAAGCTCCAAAGTACATTAATTTCTCCATTTCCCTCTGCTGGATCATGTATATGATGGTAAATTTTATTTTTCCTATGAATGTGTCATATGTGTCTGGGAAATGGAGTAGCAAAAACATCAGAAAGAAAAGGGATTTTGCTTACTGTTCCCTTTCCAGTAATGAGACAATCACAGATTCACTGTATATAGCATTAATAGTATTCCCTGAAGTTTCATTTTCTGTAATCATAATCTGGGCCAGTGGCTCTATGGTTTTCACTCTGTACAGGCACAAGCGGCGTGTCCAACACATTCACAGCACTAATGTTTTCCCCAGATCCTCCCATGAGTCCAGAGCCACCCAGAGCATCCTTGTCCTGGTGAGCACCTTTGTATCTTTTTATTCGGTCTCTTCTATCTTCCACATTTGTATTGCTCTTTTTTATAATCCCAGTTGGTGGTTGGTGAACACCGCTGCCATAATTTCTGCATGTTTTCCAACCATCAGCCCCTTTCTGCTTATGAGCCATGACTCCACTGTATCCAGGCTCTGCTTTGTGTGAATAAAGAATGCAAAATCCCCTAATCTTATCAAAAATATGTATATTGTATGTTTTTCACAATGTTCAGTGTTTATTCATTCATCACAGTCAATGCAGAATCTTAAGGAGAAGCCACATGTATTTCTGAGGTAGACTCTAATGGGTATTAGGATTTCTTCAGAAGGCTAAATGCATGGGCATAAAGGAAGTGAATAAAGAAGGTTATACTATATATTGTATGATTCCACTTATATGAAGTACCTAGAGAAGTCAAATTCATAGAGACAAAGGAAAATAGTGGTTGTCAGGGACTGGGGGCGGGGAAAATGAGAGTTATTGTTTAATGGGTACAGAGTTTTAGTTTGAGATGATGAAAAAGTTCTGGAAATGGATAGTGATGATGGTTGCACAATAATGGATGGTAACGAGGGTTGCACAATAATGTGAATGTACTTTATGCCAATAAACTATACACTTAAAAACAGTTAAAATGGTAAATTTTATGTTATGTATATTTTACCACAATAAAAAAAAGACACTAAGAAACCACAATGAGATACCACTTTATGCTCACTACAATAGGTATAATTTTTTAAAAAACTTAAAATAACACATGTTCATGAGAATATGGAGCAGTTGGTACCCTCATACATTACTGGTGGGGATGTAAAATGGTGCATCCACTGTGGAAAATAATTTGGCAGTTATTCTGTAAGTTAAACATAGAATTACCGTGTGACCCAGCAATTCCACTCTTAGATATATACTCAAAAGAAATGAAGTGGTGAAAGGGGTGAAAAGATACAAACTTCCAGTTATAAAATAAATAAGTCATAGGGATGTAATGTACAGCACAGTGACTATACTTAATAATATTGTATTGCATATTTGAAAATTGATAAGAGAATAGCTCTTAATAGTTCTCATCACAAGAAAAAAAACTAACTTTCTATGGTGATGGATGTTAACTAGACTTATTGTGATCATCCTGCAATATATACAAATGTTGAATCATTATGCTGTACATCTGAAACTAATATAATGTTATATGTCAATTGTACCTCAGTAAAAAAAGAGAATTGAAAACAGATGTTCAAAAAAAAGTGTAGAAGATTGTTCATAGCAGCACTATTCATAACAGCCAAAAGGTGGAGACAACTCAAATGTCCATCAACTGATGAATGGATAAATAAAATGTGGTATCAACATACAATGGAATATTGTTCAGCCATAAAAAGGAATGAAATACTGATACATATTACAACATAAATGAATCTTGGAAACAATATGCTAAATGAAAGAAGCCAGAAACAAAAGGCCACATACTATATGACTTCATTTATAGGAAATATATAGAAGAGTCAAATTCATAGAAACAGAAAGCATACTAGTAGTTCCCACAGTTAGGTAAGGTGGGAATGGGAATGAACAGTTAATGGGTATAGGATCACCTTTCGTGGTGATCAAAATGTCGTGGACCTAAATAACGGTGATGGTTGCACAATGTTATGAATCTAATAAATGCCACTGCATTGTACACTTAAAGTGGTTAAAAAGGTCAATTTTATGATATAGGTGTTTTACTTCAATTTTTAAATATATATATATATACACATATATATGTATATATATATATGTATATATATATATACCCTTTAACTCAGCAATCCCACTTTAGGGCTCTATTATATTGAATTCAAAGCACCTCTCTTTATAAAGGCACATGTATAAAGTTGTTTATTGTTTATAGTAGTGGAAAACTGAGAATCTGAATGCCCATCAGAAGAGAATGGATGACTATGCGTTATGGCTATTATGTGATATTTGGTGTGAAAAGATTACATGATTTATTATCAAGTAAAATGAACAAGTTGCAAAGCAATATCTATAACGTTATTACATGATTGTAAAAACAAAATGAAAATAACAACAACAAAAGAGCCCATGCAGATCAGGGCCCCATTACCTCTCATGAACTAGAGCCTGGACTTGGTGCTCAGAAATCTACCTCCTTGGGAGCCTCATAGTGCTTAACCCTGGCCTCCCAGTAGAATTACTTGGGCCACTTTATTAAACCAACGTGGATTCTGAGCTCTGCCAAAGATCAACTGACAGAATCACTGGAGGAGGGACACAGGTGATAGTAGTTATTAACACTACCCAGGTGATCATAACAGGAAATCAGGGCTGAGAACCACTTTGTTAAGCATTGCTTCTAAAACTTGGATGTGCATACAAACCACCTAGGGATCCTGTTGAAATACATTCTGGGGTCCCACACATAAATTATGATCCCCCAGTTACTCTTAACTGGACTCTGGTCATGTTTCTCCATGATGTCCAAGTGAGGTTAGTTGTGGACTGGGCTCGCTTTTTCTCTTGCATCACCCTTTGAAACCTAAGTACTGGCCTTGGCCCATGGTGGTCAGAGAAAGATTTACTTGGTATGTGTGGGTGGTCCAGGCAGGAAAGCTAAACCCTGAGGGCTCAGATCATGTTGGGCTGGTCTGTAGGAACACCCCTGGCTGAACCAATAGGTGTAGATGTCATTGAGTGACCAGGTGGGGAGAGGAGTATTGAGACTCAGGCCAATTCTACTAAACTCTCACAAAATTTGAAAAGAATGGGATATTTCCCAACTCATTCTATGAATCTAGCTTTACTCTGACACCAAAATCATTACAAGTAAAGAAGTCTACAGATTAGCATCTCTCATTAACCAAATGTTAGCAAACAAAATGCCACCATATATTTTAAAAGATAATACATCATTGATGAAAAGCAGTTTATCCTAGGAATGCAAAACTGGTATAACATTCAAAAATTGATCCATGTAATTGATCACATTAAGAAACGAAAATGAAAAGTCCCATGACCATCTTGACAGATGAAGAAAAAGCTTTTGACAAAATCCAACATCCATTTCTGAAAAAACTCACAACAATGTAGTAATAGAAGGGAACTCAGCAAACTAGTAATAGGAGGGAACTTCCTCAACCTGATAAAGAAGATCTACAAAAAACCTACAGCTAATATTATACTTAATGATGAAATATTGAATGCCCTTCCTCTAATATTAGGATCAAGACAAGGATTCCTCTCCACTTCTATTCAACATTGTTCTAGTGGTTCTAGTCAGTGCAATCAGGGAAGAAAAAGAAATAAAAGGCATCTAGTTTTGAAGAGAAGTAAACTCTCTTCATTCACAAATGACAATATCATCTACATAGAAAACTTGATGGAATTTAAAAATAAAAGCTACTAAAATTCATAAGGGAGTTAATAAAGATACAGAACACAAACTCATAGAAATATTTAATGCTGTTTCCCTTTAAGCACTGCTTTAGCTGCATCTCACAAATTTTGACGCCATATTTTTATTAAATCAGTTCAAGATAGCATCCAATTTCCCTTGAGATTTCTTTGACTCGTGTATTTAGAAGTGTGTTTTCCAATTTCAAATTATTTAGGAGAATTTCCAGATATCTTTTCGCTACTGACTTCTAGCTTAATTCCATTATGGCCAGAGATTGTATAATTTCAATTCTCTTTTTAGATTTTTTTAATGATAATAATATGAACAATAAGAAGTTTTTACATGTTGAGGTATATGGGAAAGTCATTCTGGTTTAAATCTGATTCAGCCTAAAACTTGTTTTTCCTAGAGCAGCCTGACATATGCCCACTGAAAATGCATTGTATGTCCACTTCAAACATTTTCCCAAAGTAAAGAATGCACTGTTGAAAGACAGGGATGGATGGCTCTTTTTCTCTGACATTGATATCACTACTTCTTTGAGGATAAGCTTTTCTTTCCAGATAACCAAGGTCAGGTTGACCTGCTGTGTATGTGCTAAACTGCAACAAAACACCTCCTTGTGACTTGGAAAAAAAAAACTATTCCTCTCATGCTTGATATATGTTCTTTTTTCTGAAACAGTATATAGCTGTGCTGTAAACCACATTTCTCCAGAGTGCTTTCTTCCCTGGGGAAGAGAACACATCTGTGCTAGTCCTCATATTAGCTCACTAAATATCTCTCTTATTTATAGATTGGTTATTGATTATCTGCATTGACATTTCTCGGTGTAGTTAGCAGGATGTCAGAGAAACCCTGACATCTGAGGCCACCTGGAATTACCTTGAACCGGCACTTGGTATCAGCACAGGCCCATTGAGCTCCTCTGGCTTCAGTGCACTCTTCAGGGCCCTCAGTGAGGTTTCCTGACATCTGGACCGCCTTCCTTAACTTGACAGTCCTGATATTTATTTGAGCTGTTTCAGATCTTAAGACTAGGTGTCTTAAAGGAATACTAATACATATCCTAGGCAAAACTAAGCTAGGGGGATATTTCCTAGGTAAGGGGAACCAAGGGGGAACTTTGCCTAGGTAAGGGGAGCCAAGAGGGAGATATTTCCTAGGTAAGGGGGCCTGGAGGGAACTTTGGAGTGAACTGGTGGGTTTTGGCTGTCCTTTTAATTTGGCTTTAATTGGAAAGGAGTTGTGCTTATAAAGTCTTAACAAACTGTCTGATAGTAAAATGAATGAATGAACTTGTTCAGCTCTGAAGAGAAGCGACACCAGTTCCTTTCAGCCATAAGGTGTTCTCAGGTGACTGAAAACCTAATGGAAGTGTCTAAGGCTGATCCTCGTGATGTGCAGTGGTCTCATAGGGCTTCCATTATGATCGTTCACTTTAAATAATTAAAGAGTCATCTGGGGAAGCACACATAAGGATTGGTCATCCAGTACTCTGAGCCCCCATGGCATTTTTATATTACCGGTGGGAGAAACCCAGACATGTTAAGAGAGTTTTCATGGCCTTTTAGGAAGTGGCACTCACAAGCAGCACACTTCTGACCCACTACACTGTCCTTAGAAATTGTTCAGACTTTAGAATAAAATGAAACTAAAAGAAAATAGGAAATCATGCTTCTAAATCTGGCCAGCACCCAGACAGACAGCCACCCACTGGAACTCTGGCTGGCTTCATGCACAATACGTATGGAGCCAATATGTGCAAGTATTTAACAAAATGGGAAGGTTTGACTAAAGATGACTCGAGTCTTAAACGACCCAAATGGGGAACACTCAATCTATCAAAAATAGTTGCTCACACAATTGGAAAAAGTTGGTTATAAAATCAAACGAATAGATTGGGAACCATATTATAATTGGTATTTAGAAGCTTCAAAGCACGGTAATAACAAAATGACATCTTTACAGGAAACTAACCAAAAATTGGTAGAGACTATAGCTAAATTAGAGAAAGAGAGAAAGTCATAGGCTGTCCTGCCTCCTGTGCCTCCTCCACTGCCTCTGCCACCACTTTCAGCGCCTCAGAGCTCACCACCTCCCCCTCCACCTCTTTCTTTTCCTTTGGCACCTCTTCCCCAACCTCTTTCTTTGGCAACTTTACTTTCTCTCCTGTCTGAACTTCTGTGCCTTGACTTGTCTACTTTGCCTCCTCCTCATCTACTCCTGGGTGAAACAATAAGTAAATCCCCGGGAAGTAATACTGAAAGTAAATCTCAGGAAACAAATACTGGAAGTCCTAAGGTCATTGCGGCTCCCTTCAAAGAGAAACCTATTGGAAGAGGTGAGCCTGCACTTGTGTCTACTCCCTGGACTATAATTGAACTTAAGAATTTAACTAAGGACATCCTAGACCCTTTACAAGATCTTTTAAGGTTTTCTCAGGAATTTGACCTATCTGTTAAAACATATGAACCAGGATACTCAGATTTATATCAGCTTGTGCATTTGCTAGTCTCTGAAAGCAAAGCTAAGGATTGGCTAAAGGAGGCAAATTGGAAAGCACCCATGGAAGATTTTCATAAACATGAGTTTGCTGATGTTCATAAATGCAGGGAAATTGCTCTTAACTTGTACCAAGTCATCTCCAAGATTTTTCCTAAGAAAATAGGTTTGACCAAGGACCATCAATGTAAACAGAGGCCCAGAGAAACTATTTTTTCTTATTTTGAAAGATTTGAAAAAACCTTCAACTAATACTCCACCATGGCTCCTGGGAGTTTTCTCTATCATCAACATGATCCAATTTTAAATTCCATCTTTCTGGAAGGATTAGATGAGGAATTAGCAAGGCTCATCAAAAGATGTGAATTGGTTTGGGCCTCACTACACGCTAGTACACTTGTTACTATTGCAGATAAAATTTCTAAAACTTTACAAAAGAAAGAAAACGAAAGAGGCACTAAGGTTATGAGTGCACGACTGCAACAGCTTAGTGGCCCAATTAAGGTATCTTTTTCAAAACCTAACCAGAAGCTAAATGACTGCATTTGTTTCTATTGCAAAAAGGCTGATCATTTCAAATGCATTGCCAAAAGCTTAAATGGGGTTTAGAACATGGCAAAGTTAGAAAGTAATAGGGATGCTCCAAGGATTATGAGAGGGCATTTCCCCTCCTCCTTACTAATACCCTAGGGGAAACTGAAATAACTATCAGAGGGGAAACTTCAAAGGCCCTTGTGGATACCGAGGATACATTATCTGTTCTTAACCCTACCCTTGTTCATTGCCGGCTCCCTCAGAGGAAACAATCAATTCAAATGGTATGGGTTTCCGATTTAACAATGCAAGTCTTTAAATTGGAGCCAATAACCTTTCAATTAGGAACCATCATAGAGAAACATGAGTTTCTCCTGGTAAAATGTGCTCCAATTCATTTGATTGGGTAAGACCTCCTAGAAGCATATGCTCATATTGCCTTTTTGCAAAAGGGTGGAATGCTTCTAGATTTAGAAAATTTGGATGCTGACCAAAATTTAATTACTGAAATGGTTATAAAATCAGCGACTCAAATATACCAAGAAAAAATTGATGACCTGTTATTGCAAGTGCCTAAAGAACTGTGGTCATCATGTTCTTCAGATGTTGGAAAGATTAAATTGGCTACTCCTATTGAAGTGACTGTTGACAACTCTAAGCCTCTTGGCAATATCCACTTAAACCAGAGGCATTAAATGGAATAAGACCTATTATTCAGGAATTTCTTGAGAAGGGACTTATAATTCCTTGTACCAGTCCTTGTAATATATATATATCTTACCAGTAAGAAAGTCAAATGGAAAAGGCTGGAGATTTGCTAAAGATCTGAGAGCCATAAACAAGATTGTGATTCCATGACATCCTGCGGTCCCAAATCCTCACACTCTGCTCTCAGCCATTCCAAATAACAGCTTCTATTTTTCAGTAATCGATGTATGCAGCACGTTCTTTAGCATGCCAGTAGAAAAAGACTGTCAATATCTCTTTGCCTTTACATGGGAAGGTCACCAGTATACCTGGGCAGTTATGCCCAGTTATGCCCAGGCTATACAGAAAGGCCTACTTACTTTTCTCAAATACTCAAGAGTTATTTAGCTAATATAGATTTTCCTAACAGCTCTACCTTAATTGAATATGTAGATGACTTGCTCTTATGCTCAAAAACTGAATTAGACTCTCAAAAGGACACAATCTATCTGCTACAACTGGCATCTAAGGGACATAAAGTCTCCAAAGATAGACTCCAATTTTGTTTTCCTGTTGTGAAATAGCTAGGGCACCTAATATCTAAAGATGGACTATTGATTGATTCTGAAAGGATCAGAAGAATTTTGGCTTTTTCCCTCCCTAAAAGGAAAAAAACAATGGAGGGGATTTCTAGGACAAACTGGATATTGCAGGAACTGAGTGCCTAACTTTTCATTTCTCCATCAACTTTTATTTCCATTACTTAAGTCCAAGCAGCGTGGCCTGATTGAATGGACGCTAGCAGGAGAGAAAACAGTAAACACCTTAAAGTCCATCTTAGCTCAGGCACCAGCTTTAGGACACCCTAATTACAACTTGCCATTTTTCCTCTTTGTGCACAAAGATAAAGGAAATGCTTTAGGTGTCCTGACTCAAAAACACGGTGATCGACATTAACCTATAGGATATTATAGTCAGCAATTAGATTCAGTAGCAAAAAGACTTCTGCCCTGTATAAGAGCTATTTCAGCAATAGCTCTCTTATGTAAAGCCACTGAAGAAATGGTGATGGAGTCTCCTTTAACTATTTATGTCCCACATTCAGTCGAATTTCTTCTAAATTCTCATCACAGTCAGCATTATTCTATAAGCTGATTAGCCTCTTATGAAGTTCTGCTGCTTTCTGCACCTAATATTACCATAGCCTGATATAATCATGTTAACCCTGCAACTTTGCTTCCAGCACCACAGGAAGAGAATGACCACAACTGCATTTTAATAACAGATTATCTTCTTGCTCCTAGGAATGATCTACAGCAAATTCCTATTCATAATGCTGATCTAATTTGGTTTACAGAGAGGTCTTACTTAAAGGATGAACAAGGACATTACCAGGTTGGATATGCAATAACATCCTCAGTGGACATAGTTGACAGTTCTTATGTACCAGAAATAAAGTCAGCATAGCAAGCCAAATTAATTGCTTTAACTCATGTTTTCACTTGGCTAAAGACTAGCTGGCAAATATTTATACTAACAGGCATTACGCTTTTGGAGTGGCTCATAATTTTAGAATGCTATGGAAACATTGGGGAGTTTTAACCTCTTCAGGGAAACCTATAAAAAAATGGAAAACAGACTGCAGAATTATTAAATGCTATACTACTACCAAAAATAATTGGCAATTATCAAAATACAAGGCATTCTAAATCTGACACATTGGAAGCTAAAGGAAGCTGATGCAGCTGCTAAGCAGGCAGCTTTAAAAATTTATCCTGTCCAGCCTCAAGAATGCCCACTGCTCTCTGTTAACCCTGCTAAACCAGTGAAAGATTTCCTTCAGCGAGCTCAAGAAATCAACACAGAAGAAGAGACATGGCAACTAAAAGCGGGAATTTTTGACCCCACCACACAAATGTGGTTTGGGCCCAATAAAAAACCCATAGTGCCTATTGGAGCACAATGGCCACTGCTCCAGCATATACATCAATTAACTCATTGGGCACTTGAAGAGGTAGTTTTGTGGG